CGCCCGCCTCGATGGGGGGGGGGGGGGGGGGGCCCCTGCCTCTCCTGGGTCTGCACTGGCTGCCTGCCCTGGCCTTCCTGTCCCCCAGGGGTGTCTCAGCTGTGAGTCATCAAGCAGACACTCTCAGGATTCCCGCCCTACCGGCCTGGCTGGCTTGGCCCCGAGCTGGCCTGGGCAGAGGCACCCAGCGCCCACATGCCTCGCCTCTGTGTCCTTCCCCTAGGGGCCGGTGGGGTCAGGTGGGTTAGGGGTCACACAGGTCATGGGCGGTCAGCTGCAGCCAGTGCAGGGCAGGTCCCTGCCAACAGGGCTGACGCCGAAGCCTGAGCGGGCCGGAGCTGCGGGGCTGCCTCTGAGCCTGCGTGCCCACGCAGGTGACGAGCTGGAGCTGATCCGGCCTAGCGTCTACCGTGACGTGGCGCGCCAGCTGCACATCCCCCTGCAGTCGGAGCCCGTGGTGACCGACGCCTTCCTGGCCGTGGCCGGCCACATCTTCTCTGCAGGTAGGCCTGGCACATCCACTCGGATCTCTGGTAGGGCCCGGGGGCTGTGGGTTGGCCAGGCTTATAGGGGCACCCGTGACCCGGGCAGCAGGCATGCTGACTGCGGGGCTGCCCCCGTTGTGGGGCTGTCTGCAGCTGTGACCGATCTGCTCTGAACCCACCTGACTCAGACACTGCCCTGTGGTGCCTCTGCTGGTTCTGAGGACACTGGCCCGCCAGGCAGTGGGCAGGGGCTGTCATGCAGTGGGCTCTGGCACAGCTGGCCAGGCTCCTGCACGTGGCCCCCGTGGGGCGTGGGCCTCTGGCAGCAGCGCGGGTGGGTCCCATCCCTAAGGTGGAGCTGGAGTCACGGGGCTGCAGAGCCCTGCTGGTCAGGCTGTCTCAGGGCCGGGGGTACCATGGACAGGGACTGAGGAGGTGGGCGTCCCAGGAGGGCCTTGCTGGGGCGTCTTCCAAGGACAGACACACGGCCCCTGCTGGCTGTGCCCAGGCTCTTCGGTGGCCCTTCTGGGCATCTCCAATTCTGCCCGTCAGCTCCTGTGCCTCCCCACTGTCCTGGCTGCCCACTCGGGTCCTTCTGCAGCTTGTCTGCCCCACGTCCCCCGTGGGTTGTGCTGCTGTGCAGCTCCCTCTGGTCTGACTTGCTCACCTCATCCCACCCTGGAGGCCTGAACCCTCGGTCTCGTCTCCATCCTGGCCCCCATGGCCACAGCTCTGCTGTGGGGGCTGAAGCCCTGGCCCGATGTGGCACCTCCGCCCTCAGCAGATCCCTGGGCTGTTTATGAGCGCTGCAAGTGCTGGGCGTGGTCTGGCAGGGGACCCTGGGATGAAGGAGTCTGAAGCCTGGGCAAGGAGGGCCATACCCCTGGGCTCCCTGCAGGGAGGGGGTGCCTGGAGGCCCCAGCCACAGGGAGGCCCCACCCATCCTGGGGTGGTCTGGGTCTGCTGTGGGTAGCTGGTGGCCATGGCCCACTCCTCCAGCCAGTTTCCTCGCTTTGGGGTGGTCCTGGCGTAGCGGGGCTCTGGGGCAGGAGGCAGAGGGTGCCAGGGAAGCCCCAGCCCCACTGTAGGAAGTCCAGCCCACACCCTGCGGGGACTGCAGGCCAGGGGCCACCTCTGCCCACCTAAAGCCGAGGAGAAAAGATTTAGAATGGCCCGGCCCTCTGACCACGTATTGACCCCAGTGACCTCCCCAAGGAGGCTCCTCCAGCCCTAAGGGGAGGCCAGTGGCCCAGAAACAGGGCTTGCTTGGTTGCCACCGCTGACTTCCCTAAACACGGCGGGGAGGAAGGAGACAACTGGGAAGACAAGGGAGGGTCTGGTCTCTGGTCCTGTTCCCAGAGTCGCCCCGTTGCCACAGCATGCACTAGTGGCCCTAGAGCAGGTGACCTAGCGCAGGGTTGCGGCATCATGTGAAGTGGGCCAGTGCCAGGCAGTAGGTGTCCCCTGCCCAGTGCTCCCGGGTGACCCCAGAGCCCAGACTACTCGAGAGGCTGTCAGGCTACCTCGTTCAGGGTGCCCTGGGCCCCCACGTGCTAGTGGCAGGCCACGGGTGAAGGTCCTGGCACCTGCTCTGCCCAGGGCAGGCAGTATGCCTGGGACAGGCTGAAGAGCACTGTGTTGGGAGTGCACTGGGCAGGGGCAGGTGGGTTGCAGCCACCCAGGTGGCGGGTAGCCAGTGGGGCAGGGCGCCCGGGAAGGAGGGCAGGGGGGCAGGGCTGGGGCCCTGGGCTGATGACCACCCTGGCCCTCCCTGGCCCTCTGGCGCTGGCGTGTGGGTGGCGGCCTGCCCAAGCGTCTGTGCCGCTTTACGAGCTGCAGGCAGGCTGGCTCTCGTGGACGCTCATTCCTGAGGATGAGGCTCTGGCTGCTGGGGGCTGGGGGAGGTATGGCCCTGGGTGGGGTGGTGACCCAGGACGGAGCAGCCCCGCTGCCCCTGCCCCCACCCCTCGGCTGAGACATGCCTGAGTGTGGAGGCCGGGAGGGGTGTCCCTGTGGCTGTTTCACTGCATATTTCAGCTTGAATCTTGGGGGTTTTGTTGGAATACTGGAGCAGGGCCTGCCCTTCTGGTGTCGCCACCCCAGCCAGCATCAGCAGGCTAATCCCTGCAGCCCGTGTCTGCCCTGTTGCCACTCGGCGGGGCCTGGCCTAACTCACAGCTCATTCCTTAACTTCTGCGTGTGAGTGGGGCCAGAGTTGTACCGCTGAGCCTGGGCTCCCAGGCCTGCCCCTTCTGCTGCCAGCTGGTTCACAGGCCATCCTGTGGCTGTCCCTGGCATGTCCCCTCACCCATCCCGGAGTCTAAGGACGCTCCGTCTACAGTGCGAGCTGAGGCACTTGCTGGCTCCATCCCTCTCGACCCCGCAGGGGAGCCAGCCCAGCCTGTGGCCCTCTGGCTCTGGGGTAGGGGTGAGGCTGGCAGGACAGGCAGCCCCCCCCCACCCCGTGGCCTCTCTGTCTCTAGTCCTGAATGGCAGAACAGCCGAGCCATGAAGGACTGTTTTACCTTAGGTTTCCGAGTTCCTGCCAGCGGGAAAACTTATTTAAAAGTTGGCGGCATAGGGAACCAGCAGTTAGCGTAATGGCTGTGTCGCTGGACTCTCACATAGTCGAACGCAGGTCGTGTCCCCGACCCAGTCGCTTGAA